ACCCTGTGATGTAGGTTTGGCTGAGTGAGTGGCTGCAGAAAGTGCTGATTCAGATCAAGTGCTCAAAGGCTGCAGTTACAAACACTAAATAATCCACTTTCGATCCACTTTCAGTGCACTTTCCAACTGGATTTTGCCAGTTCACACAGTAAAATCCAGTTGGAAATTGCACTGAAAGTGGAATGAAAGTGGATTGTTTCATGTGTGTGACCACAGCCAGTGATCACCCAGCAAGCTTCATGACCAAAGATGAATTTGAACCTAGATTTATTCATTTACAGTGTTACCAACTCAACTTACAATAATAGACTGCATGAAAACAATAATTTGTTTTTGAAATGAATTTAAAGCAATAACACTTTTTTTTTAATTACAAAAGAAATGAAAAGCCTGGTTGAATCAGGTCTTAACCTTATACCTCATGTTGGAGACCAGGCAAGCTGCTGTGAGGAGAGAATTTTACAAGGGTAGTGCCAATGCTGACAAAGCCCTCTCTCTGAGAGTTCTCTATGGCTGATTTCGCACTAGAGCTGCCTCGATGTTGCACCGCTGTTTGCCCCAATACTATTGGTCAATTTCACACCCAAAGCCGCGGGGCTGCATTTGACCCACGGCTTTGCCCGATTTCCTCCGCAGTTTCGTGATCCTCAAAAAACAGGATCACGAAACTGCGGGGGAAATCGAGCGAAGCCGCGAGTCAAAATGCAGCCCCGCAACTTCGGGTGTGAAATTGACCAATAGTATTGGGGCAAGATTGGGGCTGGGAAAGATTGAAGGTCAAAGAAGACAGGGACGGCAAAGGATGAGATGGTTAGACAGTGTCATAGATGCAACGAACATGAAGTTGAGCAAACTTCAGAGGATGGCGGAAGACCAGAAGGCCTGGCGTGATCTGGTCCATGGGGTCGTGAAGAGTCGGACTCGACTGTGCGACTGAACAACAAAAATCGGAGCAAATGGTGGAGCAACATCGAGGCAGCTCTAGTGCGAAATCAGCCTATGTAATATCTGAAAGAAGGGGGCATAAGGTTTCTGCAAAATACCCGAATGTTGTAAGGGAAAGTAAGGGAAGTGCACATGGGCAGTAGATTCCCTTTAAGTACCTGATCCAAAATCACTTAGCACTTTAAAAAGGCAATCTCTGCAGTTTCTTCAGAACTGGTGAGATTTTCCCTAGTATTTTGTGTTGGTGGCTGTCAACTGGCTTGCTGCTGCACTTTGTATAATTCAAAGTTTCTAAACAGCCTTTGAAGGAAGCCCTGGAAAGAACAGATTGCAGCAGTCAAATCTAGATGTGATGAGAGCATGGATAATAGCTCTGGGTTGGGAAATTCCTGGAGATTTGGGGGTGGAGCCTGGGAACCTGTAGGCAGCTGCTGGCACACAAAGCAGTTGGACATGGGCATTATGTTCCACAGAAGAGATCTGCATGTGTGAATCTAATAGTATCCCCAAACTGCAAACCTGTTCCTTCCATAACTCCTTCCAGAACAGGCTTGTTCCGTAGTCCTTAGGTGGCAACATTATTGAACAGAAACATTTCATTCTTGTCCATATTCAGGTTGAGTTTAGCCCAGACCATAGCAATGCTTCATAACATCTGCAGTATCCTCTACCTTAGCTGAACATGAGAAACAGACTTGTGTTTCATCAGCATATAGGTAACCCCACACTGCAAATTCCAAGACAGATGTTACTTAGGAACAGAGACAACCCTATAGCATCTGAAGAAGTGAGCAGTGACTCACAAAAGTTCATATTCTGCCACAAATGTAGTTCGTTTTTTAGGGGCTGCTGGACTCTTGCTCTTTTTTATTGCTACAGACAAACTAACACGGCTACCCATCCTGATATACCTACAGCATAAGTACCCCCCAGTACTTCTTTCTGATACCAGTCAGCCAGATACAACACCAATACCCAACTCACTTAGCTGGGCCAAAAGGATATCATGGTCAATGGTACTAAAAAAAACTGCTAAGAAGCCCAGATGTGTCCACAGGATGCAATATTAGTCAGAGTGACCATGGCATTTTCTGCTCAAAAATGGGGATGGAAAGGAGCCTAGGCAATCCATATTATCCAAAAAACAATTTTTTTGCAATCATAGTCAGTATCAGCCAATAGAAAAGAGCAAGGGTCCAGTAGCACCTTAAAGACTAATAAAATATGTGGCAGGGTATGAGTTTTCATGAGTCACGTCAGGTGGCGGCAGCATTTCAGGAGGGGAAGGACTTCAGCAAGGTATAATGAGCATAGAGTCCACCCTCCAAAGGAGCCATTTTCTTCAGGGGAACTGATCTTGGTCATCTGGAGATCAACTGTAATAGTTGAAGATATCCAGGTGCCGCCTGGAGGATGACAACCCTAAATTGATATTGCACACATGACTGATGGTCTGGTTTGAGCTTGGTGACAAGTTTTGTAGGCTAGGAACAGGGTCATGCCCACCAACTGTCCTGACTGGTTTACCCTGGACAGTTACTACTTTGTGGTACCTACCCCTTCTTGGTAAATAACGGTGTCTACTTTTGCCTTTTTCAGGATGTTGTGTTAAAATTTTGTGAATATAATTGATCATTTTTCAGAGTTTACTTCCCTCCCTAAGATCTCTAGAAATCAAATCTTTCTGAATGGGGCAGTGGATGCATCTTGTTTGTGTACAATCTTTTTAGGGTGGGGAAGTTTATTGCACATTCAGGATTGTTTTCCTTTTGGATAAATATGCTTGTAAATAAATATATAAATCAAAGCTTTAATGCAATGTCTAATATGGGGATGTAGGAAAACAGCCTGCTGCTAATTAGAAAGAAAATAATTGTAGAAGCATAAGTGGTTGTGACACATCTTTAATATGAAAGTCATTTCCCATTCATTTACAAGTTGCAATAAATTAAATATGAATAGGCTACATATCAGGGCCAAAAATTAGACTTATTTATGGCCTAGCTTATATCCGCATGAAATGGTATCCGAATCTAAACTATAGAAACAGACAGTGTATGTTTTAAGACCATAAAGCCATACATCTCTTAACATGTTTTATGTCAGCAACAGTAGTCTGAACAATCACTTTCACTCTTCGTTGCAGGCTGAGCATTCACAGCTTTGGTGTCCCTCCCATACCTCCAGCAAGCGAAGTAATTATTGTATGAGCTTGACCTGTAGACCAAGGAATTTCTCTACCAAATCTACTGGATTCTTGGGCCTAATCTGCTTCATAGGGGACCAACTCAGCTGAGAAGCAAGACAGAAGAAAAATTCAGATGAGCCATCTTGTGTTTCCCCTTTGCCTCTTGGAGAAGACACTGGTCTGGTTGGAGATACATAAACTCTGTGCCATACCTTAGGGGGTTTGAAGTGGGATCAAAGACTAGTCGGTAGAGTAGATGGCTGAGTAAAAATCATCAGTGACCCATAGCCTATCTCCAAGAAGGCAGATCCTTGGCTTAAGAGCCAGCTTGGTGTAGTGGTAAGGAGTGTGGTTTGATTCCCCACTCCTTCACAAGCAGCTGCTAGTTTGACCTTGGATCAGTCACAAGTTCTCTCAGAGCTGTTCTCTCCAGAGCAGTTCTTGAGAGAGCTCTCTCGGCCCCACCTACCTCACAGGGTGTCTGTTGTGGAGAGGGGAAGGGAAAGGAGATTGTGATCACTTTGAGATTTCTTTGGGTAGTGAAGGGTGGGGTATAAATACAATCTCTTCTTCTTATGACTTTTATGTCCAGCAGGTCCTTCCCACCACCTCTTAGCTGGGTAGTGGGAGAAAAATAAGAGGGAAATTGGGGAGGGGAGGAGTGGACAGTATTCAAGCATGCTGACATCAGCGTGTTGTCAGTGATGCTCTAGCATTTGGTCAAAATGTTATGGTTAAACCATAGAGTTTTGACGAAATGCTAGAGCTTCACTGGCCATGTCATTACATTGATGGCAAGGGCCCCTCCTCCCACCATGAGTCTTCCAGCGGCTTTCTGTCTGGTTCAGACACCCCAACCCAAACCTTGTCTGCTAGCCATTTACTATGGGTTTTCCACTGCCAGACAAGCTCTCTCTGCAAATTTTTCATGGGCTAAAAGTGGAAATTTTATCAAGCTCCCGGTTGATCACCATACACGGCTGGTGATCTGGTTTCATCTTGGTGGGTTTTAAGTTGTGCAGGCCTGGTTTTAAGATTTGCTTTGAGATTCCATTTACGAGATAAATAGCTTGGTCTGAGTCTGCCTTCCACTTCAGAATTCTCATTCACAGAAGTATTCTGCAAGGTAACTTCTGTCCAAAGAAAAATCTCAGGGCCTGGATTCCCAGCAATAACTAATTGTGGCAGACGATCACATTTAAACTACTTTGTGCTGGGCATACTCAGGCAGTGTAAAAATATTGTTATGAGCTGAGTTATCTTTGGAGAGGTTGACATGTGCAGTTCATCCTATGATGACTGTGCACAGCATCAAGAACTGATTAACATGTGTGAATGAGCCATCACAGATATAACTTTCACATCAGCTTCCAAGACTTCTGATTCAGTTCTTTTCAGCAGAGCCATTCAGCTATTTAGAATCAAAGGATGAGAAACGAAGAGATGTACACATACATGTGAACTGGCCTCTAACATGCTTGTACATCCTGTAGGCTTGCCAAGTCCCCTCGTGGCCCCGCCCCCAGCGTGCCCGGTGTCGTCACGTCACTTCCGGGTGGCGCGCGTGCGCTTTGCGCGTGCTCCAGCTGCCAGCCGGGAGTCCCCCGCTGTGGCTAAAAAAGCACTTGGCAACCCTAACATCCTGTCTGTATGACAATATTTGCAAAAAGTGTGACCTTACTTGCATGACCACTCCTGAGAATGAATATGATAAACGTGAAACGTGATCCTCAGGTCATTGCTATCAAGGCAATATAATCATTCTTTCACTTTCTTATCCAGGGAGATTTTAGCTCAGGTGCCTCTTGTAGACCTGTCCTTGTTGATGCTTCAAATTTATAACCAAAGAAATTTATGAGCCATCCTTTCACTTGAGACTGTTGCACTGAACTTTGCTTAACAGATTAAGGTAGAATCTGGATTTGAGGAATCTGGGGTAGGAGTCCTTCTCCATAAGTATGTATACAAGTTTCTGTGCTTCATCAAAGCTGGAAGGTGTTGGATTCTGAGCCTTCTGAGCTGTAGTTTTTCTTGTATGGAAGTCAATGTTGATCTAGGAAGAGCAAAATCATATTTCAGCGTCTTTTAAGACCCAGTCTTTTTGGTATCTCATAAAGAAGGACAAATCATTGCTGATAAAATCAAAATACAAGGCCCTTTAATTACTGCTAAGTAATTGCCCTTAGGACTTTTTGTTTATCTTAAGGAATTTGGGTGCACGTCTGTGTCATCCATGGATGTCCTTCAAGTACTAAGCACAGCTGCCAAGTGTTGTGCTGTAGCCCTGTTGACATGAAACAACGAATGCACATACAACTGGCATGTACGTGCATATGTCTGCTTGTAAGAAAGAGACTGTGCAGATTCACTTAAAGAAATAAATATGGGGACCAGTACCTGGATAAATGTGGGGCTCAGATCATACATTCAGCTGTACATGCAATTAATGTAGCTGGAGTGCATGTATAAAGAAAAATCAAGTACATGTGTGCATTGTGCGTGTATTCACTGTGACTTGTGAGCAGGGCTCTTAAGGCAGCCAGAACTGGCCTATTTTTTTTTAGCTGTGCTATGAGAATGAAATTTTTTGTAGCTTGCATCTCTCCCCCACATTGTCTTACAGAATATTGACCAGCACATACATAATCAAGAGTTGAGTGGGATAAAGTTTTCTTATTTTTATTTTTAATTTCAGGAATTCAATTTTCACACCACTGAGTTCAACATTACCTAATATGGACTAAATACTTTCTCCACATCAGGGCCAGTTCCAGGATTTGAGGTGCCCTGGGGAGATGGATCCCAGGGTCCCTCTTGACTCTTCCACCTGACGCCAGACTTCCAAACATGCCCTCCTTCCCTCCCACCTGCCTGTGTGGCCTTCTCTCATCTGTTTGTGGGCTCTCCCACTCCCTGTGCTCACCACCACCTGCAGCCCTGTCCTCCAATGCCACCTGCAGCCCTGTCCTCCAAATAAGTGAGTGCGGGGACCAGGGGTCAACAGTATTTCACCCCGCCTCAGGGTATGCTAATGCTGGCTGTACTCCAGATTCCTGAAACTCATCACAAATATAGATCAAAATCAAAACATATATATATCTATATACTGATTGTTTGGGGATGTCTCACTCCCCTTCAAACTTTATCTTGTTGAACACGTCTCATAGTGGTGTTTGTTCTATATATAAACTAGTCCTTAGTGATGCCTCAGATGTAATATGTAGATTTGTCCTTAGAAAGGTATCAGACAAGTGGTAACAAGAAGTATGTCCAAATTGTACCATTAACGAGTGGGAAAGATAAATACCATGCATTAAGGACTTGTCTTCTTGTACTCTGCGAAGCACCACACATGTTGAGAATGGTTTATTATTGATAGTTTAAATACTACTACTACTACTACTAATAATAATAATAATAATGGAGGTTATGATCCTCAGAGCCAATTAAAATTTTGAGATGGGAGGCATTTATTTGAAAACAGTCGTGCTGTCACTCAATGAGGTTGCTTTCTGTTGAATGCTTCTCAGTGCAATGATGTAAGGATTTCACCAACATCATGCATGGTTGAAGTAGCCCTATACCTATGTTATCTGACAGAACTTACCTGCCTAATAGCATCTGACTGGACAAACTCCATGTAAATCTTGTCTGCCTTGACATGCAAGTGATCAGACTGGGTTTTCTTGTAGTCTTCACAAGCCAGCCAAAAATCAATATTTTCATCACTGAACTCAGATTTCAGAAATTCTCTGAAAGCAACTTGACCACCTGCAATAAATAGAAATACCGTAGTGTCTTTACTTATAATCTTCAATAAAGCAAAACAAAATAAATAAGCAGCTAAATTGATTAAGCTCTGCTCTAGGTACCATCTTCCCAGAAGGTGAAGATTAGGAGTTGGCCTTCTTATTGCAACTCTCTTTTCAAGGAAACCCACTTTCCTTAATTTTGGGTGTTACTGCTTTTTTGTTGCTAAAGGGGCTCCAAACCATGTACCATGCTGTATCCTCACAGATGTTTTGAGCAGCAGGTTTGGCTGAGAAGGAATATTTGTGACAAGCCTAAGTATTTCTCCACTTGGCAATAACATGAGATTGAGAATTGCTGCGGCGCCACCTGTAGGTCGGCGTGATTTGCTTCAGCTTGGCCGTTGGGCATTTCCCATTGCTGCTCTGGTTCTTTGGAATAGTTTGCAGAACACGTGAGGAAAACATTTAGTTTATAGCAGTTCAGGAAGTTGTACAGAGCAGAGCCATTGAAACTGTTGGCTGTGATGATTTGTTACATTAGTTGCAGGGCCTTGGCTGTGGTCTGTAGCGAGGGGCTGTGGCCAGTGATCCCTCTAAGCTGAGTTAGTGTGAGCTAGCTCACAGTTTTTTAGCCTCCGGCTCACACATTTTTGTCTTAGCTCGGGAAGGATGGCTCCAGAGCAATTTATGCAGCAGCCAAATTGCTCGCTCACAACTTTAATACCAGTAGCTCACAAAGCAGAATTTTTGCTCACAAGACTCCACAGCTTAGAGGGAGCATTGGCTGTGGCTAAATGGAATGCAAAAGCTCTGAGGTTCAGTCCCTGGCACTGCCAGTTTAAAAGGTCCAGGCAGGAGGGGATATGAAAGACCTCTGCCTGAGCTGCTGCCAGTCTGAGTAGACAATGCTGATTCAGTATGAGGCAGCTTCATGTGTTACCTGCAATGTGCTATTTATTTATTTATTTTACTTCATTTACGCTCCTTCCTTTCTCCCCAATGGGGGCGCAAAGTGGCTTATATCATTCTCCTTCACTCCATTTTATCCTCACAACAACTCTGTGAGGTAGTTTAGGTTGGGAGAGAGTGACTGGACCAAGATCATCCAACACATTTCCATGGCAGAGTAGGGATTCAAACCTAGGTCTCCCAGATCCTAATCCATAGAGTTTTCCCTTGTATGGCTGTGGCCCCGCCCCCAGCGTGCCCGGCATGCCCATGTCACTTTCTGGTGACGCACACACCGGGGTGGGGTTCCCCCTGGGGCCCAATTCCACGGCGGCGGAAATCGGGCCTCCAAAGTGGGGGTTTACCCGCCCCCACTTGGCAGCCCTACCACTACACCGTGCTAGCTCTCTCTGCTGGGTTTTGTGGGGCTGTCCTCCTTAATCTTATAGTGTGTGTACTTATAATTTTTGATGGAGTATTTTTAGATTCAGTATTTAAATGACTGATTCCTGAATTCTGGAGAAAAGGCGGATATGAAATATTACATAAATGAGGCCGCTCTGCAAGATTGATGGGTGGATGGGGATTTGTATTCTGGGCTCTTGACAGAACTTCATCCTGCACAGTGATCGCTCTCTTTTGAGCTTTGTCAGGGCAGAGGTTTAAAAAATCTTGCTGATCTGTTGTTTTATTGTTAGCTATTTTATGGGTTTCAAAGTGCCTGTGCTTCACTGGGAGTATGATTTCATTTTAAATAATCATTATCTAATAATACATTTCTTTTTTAAAAAAATCCCCCAGTCTCTGTGGGAAGAGAGCACATGCCTTTGTCTTGCTATTGGAAAAGGAAGTGATAGTTGGAATAACATTTCTGTTCTGTTTTCTCCAGTGCCTACACTTTTGGCTCAGCAATCCATATGACCCCATCAGATAAAAGCTGAATGTTTATTTCTGTAGAAGCCCAGCTGTAAAGTTCCTATTTTTGGAATGTTTTAAAGAACAGTGTAAACCAGGAATATACAACATGTGCATGGCTAAGGGCAGTCATTCAATCAGCTTCCTTCAGATGCTGCCCTGGCAGGCCACAGTGTACCTGGCTGTGCTTGGTTCGGTCGCTCACATGTTACACACACCCGACTTAAGTGAGCGTCCTCCATCTGCAATGTTTTTTTGGGGGGGGCGGGTAGCTGATCTTTCTTGAGTCCATGAATGCTGAGCCAACCACTAGTTCATCTTAAAATCCCATGGCCATAGTGCAAGAAAGTATAATATATATTTTATACTGGTTGAAAAATGGCTTTGCAAAATAAATATTTCACCCAATGCCATAAAAAGCACAAGCTTATAAAGCAGATGATGATAAAAAGCAAACCAGTTGTCTTGTCTTTGGGCTCTGACAGTTTTAGTCCAATCAAACTGTGTCTAAGGGCTCAAACAAATCAGAAGATGATCAGATGATCTTCCTGTTTGTAAAAGGTAACTTGCGCACACCTGTGATTTGGAAACTAATCAGGGACTGAAGGGTTAACTGCATGCAAGGATAATTTAGATGGGGTTTGAAACCCAAAGTAATCCTTAATGAAGGCAACAGTTCTAGTGTTCGATCGAACCTCCTTTTGAAGATTAAATACTTCATCATGATAAAGCTGTTAAAATGAAAAACTTACACTGGGTTGACAGAAGCGCTGCTAGAGACTGGGACCACTGTGTCACTTCTACTGCAGAAAGCCTAAGGGGGTAAAAAAAAAACATTCAAGATTAAACTGTAAGAAACTATAAAGTTGGCTGTAAGAAATAGTGGGCTTCTCTGGACAAGAATATTGGGATAACATAACAATTAAAAATTATTGGAATGTAAAAATAATTGGAAGAAAATGATCCAGTGCTTTATCCACATATCTATGTTTGTAATAAAGTCCATCATGAGAGAAATTTGAATATGGAAATAATTGATTTATCATATTAACGTCCCACTCTTTTCTCAAGGAGCTCAGAATAGGCTTGAATGAACGAAGCTGCCTAATACTGAGGCAGGTCATTAGTACATACATACGTTGTCTACTGTGGTTGGCACTGGTTCTCCAGGAACTGACTTTTCCTGGTGCTACTATCTGAAATTCTTTTGAATGGAAATGCCAGGAATTGCATGCAACACATGAGTTCTACCACAGAATTAGAGTCATTCCCATGTCCTGTTATATCCTGAAGGCAAGGAAGGTGGACAGATTGAAGTCCTTTTCAGGATGTATTCTAAGGTGAGAATAATGAACCTATTCTAAGGTGAGAATAATGAATCATGGGGGCAAGTGTAGAGCCTTCACCTGTAAGGTGCTCTTCATGTGATGGGAAACCCTGCTTTTTTAGGTCTCCCAGTCACCTATGGGGGAATCTAACTCATTTATAACTATATTTATTTATTTAAAACATTTATATTTATGTATATGTTTCAAAGAATGCATATAGGTGAAGGATGGAGCTTGCCATGATCGCATCTCTGGCACCCATTCATCCTATCTGTATAGACATTTTGAAAAGGGCTAGATATTTGTACAAATCTACTTGGTGAGTTTTGTGGTTGAGAGGGGATTTGAACCTGTGGCTCCTCCATATCCTATCTACTTGTGTTATACTGATAATACAAGACCACAAATAAACCTGAATTAAGATTTCTTTCTATTAAAAAAGGTGAAGGACCTTTGATTCAGTTAAAGGAAACTGAGTGGCTCTTACAGAATTCTTCTAAGTATCATGGATGACTTCCTTTGAATCTGAACTCTGAAACTGTGGTGCTATCTGCAGAAGTTGATTTACTGTATGCCATCTCACAAGATTGCCAACATTCGCTGGATTATGGAGAAAGCAAGAGAGTACCAGAAAAATATCTACTTCTGCTTCATTGACTATGCTAAAGCTTTTGACTGTGTGGATCACAACAAACTATGGCAGGTCCTTAAAGAGATGGGAGTACCAGACCACCTCACATGTCTCTTGAGAAACCTGTATAAGGGCCAAGAAGCGACAGTTAGAACCGGATACGGAACAACTGATTGGTTCAGCATAGGAAAAGGAGTACAACAAGGATGTATATTGTCACCTTGCTTATTTAATATATATGCAGAGTACATCATGCGAAATGCTGGCCTGGATGAATCACAAGCGGGAATTAAGATTGCTGGGGAAAAGATCAACAACCTCAGATATGCAGACGATACCACTCTAATGGCAGAAAGTGAAGAGGACCTAAAGAGCCTCTTGCTCAGAGTAAAAGAGGAGAGCGCAAAAGTGGGCTTGAAGCTCAACATCAAAAAAACTAAGATCATGGCATCCGGCCCCATCACTCCTTGGCAAATAGAAGGGGAAGTCGTGGAAGTAGTGACAGACTTCACGTTCCTGGGATCCCAGATCACCGCAGACTGTGACTGCAGCCATGAAATTAAAAGACGCCTGCTCCTTGGGAGGAAAGCGATGGCGAACCTAAACAGCATGATAAAAAGTAGAGACATCACCCTGCCAACAAAAGTCCGCATGGTCAAAGCAATGGTATTCCCAGTAGTCATGTATGGCTGTGAGAGTTGGACTATAAGGAAGGCCGAGCGCCGAAGAATAGATTCTTTTGAACTATGGTGCTGGAGAAGACTCTTGAGAGTCCCTTGGACTGCAAGAAGAACAAATCAGTCAATCCTCAAAGAAATCAACCCTGACTGTTCCCTGGAAGGCCAGATAATGAAACTGAAGCTCAAATACTTTGGCCACCAAATGAGAAGGGAGCACTCACTGGAAAAGACCCTGATGCTGGGAAAGATTGAAGGTCAAAGAAGACGGGGACGGCAAAGGATGAGATGGTTAGACAGTGTCAGCGATGCAACGAACATGAAATTGAGCCAACTTCGGAGGACGGCGGAAGACAGGAGAGCCTGGCGGGAGATTGTCCATGGGGTCGCGAAGAGTCGGACTCGACTGTGCGACTGAACAACAACAACAACAAATCTCACAAGAGTGGGAGACTTATGTTAATAACTGCATGGAAATGTACAGTAGTGCATCCAGAAGTAAGTTGCTCACAGATGTAAAGAACTCACTCATCACAAAACTGAAACTGCAAGAAAACTCAGAGTGAATTCACAAATGAGGGTACATTTTGCTCTTGGAGCGTTTCCCCAGTCTAAGCCTGTTCATTTCAATGGGTTTAGAAAGTTTAATTCTGTATAGGATTTCACTGTGAATTCCTCAGGTTACCGTAAAGGTCACTCTTAGGTCCTTTGGCTTAAATTTCAGGTAGTGAAACAACACTTCACTTCTGCCTCGGCTTCTTAACAGCTCCTGGTAACTGACAAGGTTGTGGGCAGTAACTTTCATTTTGTGTGTGTGTGTTCCTGAAGCAGCAGTATGACAGTAACACAACCAACAAATGCAACTTTCCCACAGCATAGAGATACTTCAACTTTTGAATTCTCATGTAGCTGTTATTCTGACACAGAAAAAAAAATAGGACTGCACTTGGCTTTTGTGTGTGTGTGTTTTTTTTTTGGGGGGGGGGGGGGG